ATGATTTTTTTAATTTACGATATGAATGGTTTGAAGGAAGAAATCTTCGGTGTCCAAGGTACACTCGTTTTCCTTCCATGTTGTAGTTGATAGTGACATGTGTCTTCTTCACATATCGGGCAAGCTTTATGCCCCTTTGTGCTGTAGCCACTCAAATTACCATATGCTCGGAAAGTCATTAATTGTACAAAATAACATTGCACGCAACTTGAATAAGTCACCTGTGTACCCATCAAACACATCAACACCTTCCTCCCACAACATCTTCAACTCTTCAACCAATGGGCTTAAAAAACATCAATGTCATTTCCAGGTTGTCCGGGACCCTAGATCATCAAAGATAGCATCAAGTACTTACGTTTCATACACAACCACGGAGGTAAGTTGTAAATAACTAACACCACAGGCCATGAACTATGTTTACTCGCTTAAATTTCCATATGGATTCATTCCATCCGTAGCAAGTCCAAACCTAATGTTTCTTGGATCATTACCAAAATTCTGGAAGATGGAATCAATTTTTTTCCATTGCAATCCATCTCGTCTGGATGCCTCAACCGACCATCTTTAATACGACTATCTCGCATGCCATCTAGTGAGCTTTGCATCATTTCCATTAGTGAACAATCGTTTCAACCTTGGAACAATGGGAAGATACCATAACACTTTTGCCGGGTACCCTTCATAACATCATTGTCAGAATCACCATCCTTCTTCTTGTATCGTGATTCCCCGCATTGTGGACATTCGTGACAGTTCTCAAATTCTTTCCTGTACAACACACAATCATTCGGACATGCATGAATTTTTTGGTACTCCATACCCATTGGACATAATATCTTCTTAGCATCATAATTGCGGGTTGGCAATGTGTTACCTTCAGGGAGCATGTCACTCAACAACTCAAGCAATTCTGTGAAACTTTTATCAGTCCACCCATTCTTTGCCTTCACATTGAACAATTTTAGTACCGCCGACAATCGTGTGAACTTAGTAAAATTTGTATACAAAGGCTCTTTTGCATCATTGGACAACTTCTCGTACACATGTGTGTGTTGGAAGGCATCTTGTCCAAGCTCACGAATCATTTCCTCCAGCTGATCATCCATCTCTAGATCAACTTCTTCTTTGTCTTCTACACTTGGCATGTTTAATAATTCACCATGCCATGTCCACTTTATGTAACTCTTTAGGAAATCATCACAAAGAACATGTTCCCGAATAACTTCAGTCGATAATCTTCGCTCATTCAAGCAGTTAACACAAGGGCAATAGAATCTTCCATCATTATCCGGAACATTCATCTTAGCAAATTCAAGGAATTGTTCTACTCCACTCTCATATTCATTTGTTGTTCGTCTGTAATTGATCCAACTCCGATCCATTGTTACAAATCTAATTTTCAAAATCAAATTAGCTACAGAAACACGAAATAACTACATTATAATGCCTACACGAAATCCAACTCCACTCTCAAAATAACTACATTATAATACAAATCTAATGTTCAAAATCAAAATCACGAAAGAATGCCGACAGAAACACATTCAAATGACTAAACTACTTACAATACATCTCTAAATTAGCTAAAGGCACCCGTGATGTTTCCCTCTCTTGACAGCATTATTACTTACTAGATTCAATACTGGAAACCTACATTGGCTAAAGCAAGCACGAAAACTTACCTCTTGAAGACCTACGGAGGTGGCAGGTGGCGTGACGTGCGGAGCTGGGTGGGGAGAAACGTATCCAAGGCGACGGGCACCGAGTAGCGGCAGGCGGCACGAAGCGTTGGCAGGTGGCGTGACGAGCAAATGTGGGTGCGGAGAAACATATACAAGCGAACGGGGGAGCTCTGGTATGGGTGAACTGATGAAAGGAAATGGAGCGTAGGGAGAAACGTACAGGGGAGCTCTGCTATGGGGGGAAGTGATGAAATGAAATGGAGTGGGGGGGAAGTGATGAAAAGAAATGGAGTGCGGGCAAAACAGAAGATACTATGTCGGTTGCCCTAACACCCGTCATCAAAGACACTTTCTACGTCGGTTAAAATTTACCCGACATAGAAAGTTCATTTTCTACGTCGGGTAAATGTTACCCGACATAGAAAGTTAACTTTCTATGTCGGGTAAATTTTAACCGACGTAGAAAGTGACCTTTCCACTTACTATGTCGGTTAAAACTTACCCGACATAGAAAGTTTATGATTTTATTACAAAATTGCCACCGCGCCACATACTATGACGGGTGGATTACGACCGTGATAAAAACCCGTCATAGAAAGCTATTTTTCCACTAGTGGTTTACTTGTTGTTGCATGCAAGACTCAGTCATATACTTGATGACTCATTCTTGTTGATTTTTGCCTCGAGTTGGACTTATTCAGTATGCAACTCTTTTTAGATACTGACGTGATTTGTCTTATAAATAAGGTTTTTCTTGTGTTTATTAAGAGATTTCCGATTATATATAAAATTAGCTTGGTATTGACTTAAATGTTGCATGATTTCCTGGTGATAATTATTCAGTTTTAGTCTGTGGATAAAATTTGCCCAAGATAGCGTCATACTTCAATAATTTTCTAGATGAATTCTGAGTTTTATTTCCCCTTCCTTTGCAGGTTGACATCTCTGGCTATATAGATCTTAAAAATTTTAAATAAACTTAAAATCAAGAATCTGATTTTACGTCGGAGCATGCATGGTGACTGTTGAGAGATCAACCTAAATGGTTAGATCAACACAAAGAAATCAGTAAAAGAAAAAAAAAAAAGAAAAAACAAAAAAGCTTCTAAGAGGAACGAAAATAGGAATTGAGATTTGTAGTGATGACACATCATCATGAATTGATCGTCAAATGATACGAAAGGCTTTTAAGAAGGAGATGAAGGGAAAAAGAGTTGCAACACCTACACCAACAATTGGCTTGACAAGCATGAAGCTACAATTAGAGAAAAAAACTACCATGAACAAAAGAATTCTAGACATAACTGATGAAAAATATAACGGTGATGTACAAAATTCTACTGAAAAACACATTGTTTGAAGATCAACACAAGAAATACGAAGTCATGAATGATTACATTATGGGAAAGTTTGATATGTAATAATGTTATGCATTAGTTTAGTTACAAGTCATTAAGTTTTAAGTTAGTTTTAATTAGTTGTCGTGTTATTATGAATAAAACTAGTTATTGTGAAACTAGTTGTTGGTTTTGATGTTATGTAATTCATAAAGACATACACACAAAGAAGAACAATCATAAATCGCAATCGCGAAAATGATCATACTTGACAACTTTATTGGATACACAAACATTCAGTTTTCTCAAAGGTTTCAAATGCAGAAGCAATTGTTTCTTCAAATTATAGATTCTCTTAGTAATCATAATCCATATTTTCAGCAGTTGGCAAAAAAGGTTTATCACCATTTGAAAAGTGCATTGCAACAAAAATGATAATGATGCTAATCGCCTACTACAAATTGGAGAAACATTTGGGTTTCCAAGTATGTTAGGTTTGATTAATTGTATATATTGGAAATGGAAAATTGTCTAATTGCATGGTAGGATTTCACAGGACTTGTAAATTTGGTATATATATATTTTGGAGTTACACTATAGAACAATGATATTAATGTATTAAATCTATTTAATGGTCTTACAATTAATAAAATCTCATGTAATAAGGAATATTATCTTGTAAATGGCATTATCTTGATTAGGCAATATTTGTAAAAATCATCTTAATCCATAAGGAGAAAAATAAAGTTATTTGCAAAATTCAAAAAGCAAAAGAAAAGATGTTGAAAAAGCATTTAGAGTGCTAAAATCTCAATTTACAATTGTATATGATCCATTACGTAATTATATGTGATTATTGAAAATGAATGAGATACATTCTATAGAAATATTAATATTCATTATAATTATATTTATGAAAATATCTCAAATATTGACACAGGTGATCTTCCTAACTTCCCTATATACTTACAAACAAGACATTATATGCATATTAAGAGACCTTTATCTTACAAACAAGACATTATAAGCACAAGCCATTATATGCATATAAGAGACATTTATCAAAAACTTAAACCAGAATTGATAAAATATATTTGAGAATATTTCATTAATAACAATGATGAAAACATATCAACTATCAATGCTTACATTTTTATTATTATTATTAGTATATCTAATATTTTTATTATTAATATATTAATTTTATCTTTGTTAATTAAAATATAATTATTAATATTTTTATTTGTTGTTTGGTAATTTAATTTTTAATAATTAAAAGTTAATTAATATTTTTAAATATATTTTTAAAACATTAAATTACACTTTCTTGTGTGTCCTAATAAATTATTTAAAATTTTAACACATCTTATATCCTGCGTCTGTAAAAATTATCTAAGATCTCCAATTGAAATCATTTTGTTAAAGATGCCCATAGCTAGTTAACAACACCTCAATAATATTGATTTTAAGAGGAATGAGCGTGCTCTTATCACCTTTGGGACACCACTTTTACTTGCTTCCATCACACTTCGTAGTTCTTTCGCCTCTTTTTTCATTTCTCCTGTCTTCCTGTTACCAATAAGATATTGCTTCTTGCTTGCCTTAGTTTATTTTTCGGATGCAATATGTGAGATATTGCTCTATTGGAAGATCAAAATATATATTAGCCCTATATAAGGTTTACAATGAAACCTTTCACCGTGTCCTTATCGACAAGGGACCATCAACAAAATGGTATCAAAACTTCGGAATTAAACGATTTAGTATAAGTTGGGTCCTTCATCATTAGCATAATAGCAACATTACGTCTAAACTCCTTTCTTCTTTGAATCAATGAACGGTAAGCAGCAAATCCCAAAGAAACAAGTATTCCATCATTCAATGGTAACAACTAGCTCAAAGAGATGACATCATTTCTTTCCTGGCTGCACACAAAGATGGGTAGCATGGAAATTTTTGCACATTGCTTCTCTTGCCTTCATTGTAGTATTTTGCTGGCAATGGGAAAGGTAGGTGTTACATCAACAGGAACCTGGGGTACACAATAGGTTAATACCTAATTAGTTTTTGTAATATTTTAAAATCACAGTATGTATGAAAATATAATGTCTTTGAAGACTTCAGACACAGGAAATGTATCCCAAATGAAATGAGTTGTGCACATTCAGACGATATGAGCAAATTAAGAGTCTCTGACAAAAAATAATTATAAGAGATTGAAATAATACAATCAAATCAATTTAGCATTTGTAATTTAATTTCCAGGTCCTCGCAGATTTTCTTTTTCTTACATACTTTAAGTCAAGACAAGGCCTGCTACGCATATCGTACGACAATAGCAAATTATATTTAAGCTGGTAGATGTTAACTGTCCTTATTCACAATATAATGCATAACGGACAAGTTATAAGAGGATGAAAACATATATGCAGTTATAGGCACAATTCAGCCGTGTCCCCAAGTGAGATGCTCAAATGTTTCTCTACAATTGAATATGGTTTAATTGAAAGTAAAACAACAAAAACACTTAAAAGGTAGCAGCTTCATCAACGTTAAAAATGAGTTACAAAGTGAAAAGCTAAAATATTTTTAATAATTTTAAATGGTCTTAGATGACATTCAAAATATTTAAAAGGAATAGACTTCAAGTGTTTTGAAAATGTGTCATAAGTCAATGCTAATTTAGAGTACTTATTGGCGTTTTGTAGAGTGAAAAACTGTTATGTTGAAACAAAGCCTCCGTACAATGTACTCGTCATCTTATCACACAACTGTTGAGTATTTATTAGATTAGTGGTATCTTGTTGAACATTTATGAGATTAGTTATATCTAACTATAGACCTTTAATTGTATCTAACTATAGACCTAGTTCTTAGAATGTATATGTTTATCTTCTCTAGGTTTAATCATTTCTCTTTATTAATTGTATCTCAGAATCTGTATCTTTATTTCCTATAAATAAGAGAACACAAGAGAATGATTTCAAGCTCTCAAAAACATTTTTTTATTTTCCTATTATCTATTTCAAGTTGGTATCAAAGTGGGTTCATCCCACTCTGCTTGTCTCTTCTTTTTCTCAGGTGTTAATCACTGCTCGCCGTCGTCCGCCGCTGGCACCGTCATTCTCTGGCTCTGTTTCACTCTCTAACACTTGGGTTAGGATCGCCTCGAGGAGCGTGACCCAACCCTAGTGGTCGCTTCCTCCGTCTCTGCCTAACGCGCTGCCACGTGCCACCTTCTTCCATGGCTTCCTCCGCACGTGAGCTTCACACGCCGCCCTCCCGGTGGCTGTTTTGCTCTAGACCACCACCATCTCGCTTGCCTCGTCGCCCTGAAGCCGGATCTGCCCTTTGTTTCGTGTTCACTGTCACAGAACATTGGTGGTTCTGTGTTCAAGCAAGGAGCCACTCGGTCTTCTCTCTGCCTCTCTCTGCTTCCATATACAACATAGAGTTTTGCAATAGATTATAGGTCCTCTCTTGTTTCCTGAAAAATGTCAGGACCTGCGTCTGTATCTTTTTTCGGACTCCTACTATAACCACGGAAAAATCAAATGGGAAAAATTATTTGTCTTGGGCCTCCTCTGTTGAGCTTTGGTTTCTGGGACAAGGGGTCCATGATCATCTAGAAGAAGACTGAAGTACAAAACCAGCAGATCAGGCTCCTCAATGGAAGAAACTGGATTATCAACTTTGTGCACTATTATGGCAATCTGTTGAACCAAATATTTTGAGCACTCTTCGATCCTTCAAGACATGTAATTTCTTCTGGAACAAGGCTTAAAATATCTTTGCTAATGATATTCAATGACTCTATGATTCTGCTAATAGACTAGTCTCCCTTAAGCAAGAGGATAATAACATGTGAGAAATCAAATAGTATATTAGGAAAAAATAAATTAGAAAATTTGTAATCTGTACAGATTTGAACAATTAGGAACAATCCCATAAATCAAGAGATCCTAGAATAAAATAGAGTTATTATATTTCCTAAAATAGCTTAGGTCTCCTGTATATATCTTGTATGATCTCTTTGTATTAAAATATAAAATAAGATTTCATTTAATCTAATTTTCCAGATGGTATCAGAGCTTCCGATCTAGTAAACCTAAACACTGCACTTCGACCTAATACCCTACATGAGGCATTGTCTGACAGAAAATGGAGGCAAGCCATGGATGTAGAGATGGAGGCATTGGAGAAGAACAACACCTGGGAGTTAGTCACCTTACCAATATGAAAGAGGCCAATTGGATGTAAGTGGGTCTATACAGTGAAATACAAGGCTGATGGATCAATTAAGAGATATAAAACAGGACTAGTTGCCAAAGGGTTCACCCAAACCTATGGAGTTGATTATTTGGAGACCTTTGCTCCGGTTGCCAAAATGAACACAGTTAGGGTGATATTGTCCCTTGCTGCCAATTATGATTGGAACTTGGAACAATTTGATGTTAAGAATATTTTCCTACATGGAGACCTTGAAGAAGAAATTTATATGGAGATACCTTCGGGATATGGTAGAGATGTTGTTGTCAACACTATTTGCAAGTTGAAAAAGGCATTATATGGGCTAAAACAGTCCCCCCGTGCATGGTTTGGCAGGTTTACTAAAGTTATGACAGGTCTGGGTTACAAACAAAGCCAAGGGGACCATACTTTGTTCTTTAAACATTCCAAGTCAGGGGGGGTAACAATATTATTGGTGTATGTGGATGACATAATATTAATTGGAGATAATAAAGAAGAGCAGCAATTGTTGAGTCAATGCTTAGGCAAGGAATTTGAGATCAAGACCTTGGGAAAACTAAAATATTTTTTGGGAATTGAAGTTGTTCACTCCAAGAAAGGGATATTTATATTCCAGCAAAAATACATCACTGATTTGCTCAAGGAAACTGGCAAGGCAGCTTGCAAACCTGCTAGTACCCCATTAGAACCAAACCTAAAGCTTGGAAATGCAGAAGATGTTGCTATTGAAAAAGATATGTACCAGCGATTAGTGGGCAAACTTATATATTTGTCACATATCAGGTCAGATATTGCCTATGCAGTGAGTTTAATTAGTCAATTTATGCATAACCCAAAGGAGACCCATTTACAAGCAACCCACAAAATTTTACAGTACCTTAAAGGAACTCTAGGAAGAGGGATTCTATTCAAAAGGAATGGTAATGTGAAGCTTGAAGCCTATACCGATGTTGATAATGCAGGATCAATTGTGGATAGGAGGGCAACTACAGGATATTGCACCTTTCTTAGAGGAAATCTTGTGACTTGGAGAAGCAAAAAGCAGGGTGTAGTGGCTCGGTCCAGTGCTGAAGCGGAATTCCGAGCCATGACACAAGGTATATGTGAGTTGCTATGGCTTAAAATCATCTTAGAAGACTTGAGGATAAAATGGAAAGAACCTATGAAGCTCTATTGTCATAATAAGTTAGTAATCAGCATAGTCCACAACCCAATGCAGCATGATAGAACAAAACATATTGAAGTAGACAGACACTTCATCAAAGAAAAGCTTGATAGTGGCTTGATATGCACTCCATATGTGTCCTCGCAAGATCAAATTGCAACATTCTTACCAAAGGACTGGGCTGCCACAATTTTGAAAAGATTGTATCCAAGTTAGGAATGGAAAACACCTATTCACCAGCTTGAGAGGGAGTTTGAGAAATCAAATAGTATTTTAGGAAAGAATAAATTAGGAAATTTGTAATCTATACAGATTTGAACAATCTCATAAATCAAGGGATCCTAGAATAAAATAGAGTTATTATATTTCCTAAAATAGCTTAGGTCTCCTGTATATATATTGTATGATCTCTTTGTATTAAAATATAAAATAAGATTTCATTTGATCTAATTTTCTAGATAACATGATGTCCTTTGTTGCTGAAACTCAATCAGCAGTTGAAGAATTAAAAATGTTTTTGGAGGTAGAGTCAATAGAGGAAAGAAAGACAAAGTTGGATAAACTCTATATGGTAATGATTCTTAGGGCTATGAATCCAGAATTTAATCATGTTAGATACCAGATTTTAACTGGACAAGAAGTTCCTTCTATGGAAAATTTAATCACAAGGCTACTTCGTGTTCCATCTATCAAAAGCCAAAACAGTCAGGAACTTACTGAATCTTCCGCCATGATTTCTGCTCATGGAAGAGGTAATCACAGTAATAGAGGACATGGTGGTAAAGGACGTCTTCAATGCTCTCATTGCAAAAGAATGGGTCATACTAAGGAAAATTGCTTTGCTTTACACGGCTTTCCTAATAAGACAGCCAATACCTCAAAATCTGAAGTTGATGAGCCCAAGTTCTCTCATGAAGAGTATCAAGAATATTTAAGGATGAAATCAACCAATCTGGCTCAAGCATCTACAACTCCAAATTTGTCAACCGCTTGCATTTCGCAATCTGTGGAAAGTCAAAATCCGTGGATTATTGACTCAAGTGTTTCTGACCACATATCTGGTAATACCTCTTTATTCTCCTCTCTTTCATTTCCTAAAACCTCTCATCTCATATCTTTAGCCAATGGATTTAAAGTAGCCTCTAAAGGAATTGGTCAAGTATCCATCTCTCCTTCTTTAAACCTTCAAAATGTTATTTGTGTTCCTTCTTTTTCATTCAGTCTTGTTTTTGTAAGCCAATTAACCAAATCATTGAATTGCTAAGTAACCTTTAGTGCCAATTATTTTGTTATCCAGGAACGTGGTACGAGTCGACTGATTGGAGAAAGACATGAATTTGGAGGCTTATACTACCTTAGGACTAATTCATCTGTATCTTGTGTTACATCCTTATCCCCAAAACTATTACATGAGCGATTAGGGCATCCTCATTTGGCAAAACTAAAAAAAATGGTTCCTGAACTTCAGAACCTTCAAACTTTTGAATGTGAATCATGTCAACTAGGGAAACATACCAAGTCATCCTTTCCAAATCATTCTGAATCTAGATGTGATTCTTCTTTTAGTATTGTTCATTCAGATATCTGGGCACCTAGTCCTGTTTCATCTTTTAGTTTTAGATATTTTGTTACTTTTATTGATGAGTTTTCTAGATGTACTTGGGTTTATCTAATGAAAGATCGCTCTGAACTATTGTCTATCTTTAAGTCTTTCCTTAATGAAGTCAAAACTCAATTTGGAAAAGTAATCAAAGTTTTATGGAGTGATAATGCCAAAGAGTACTTTTCTAATGATTTCTCTAATGTCCTAAATTCTCAAGACATTTTACACCAGTCCACGTGTCCTCACACACCACAGCAAAATGGTATAGCAAAACAGAAAAATAGACATTTGGTTGAAATTGCTTGTACCTTATTGCCAATATGCCTATTCATCATTGCGGAGATGCTATTCTAACTGCATGCTTTCTCATTAATAGAATGTCATCTTCTTCACTTGACAATAAAGTTCCACACTCTATTCTATTCCCAAAGGAACCAATTTTTCATGTTTCTCCTAGGGTATTTGGATGTATATGTTTTGTTCATGATATGTCTCCTAACTTAGATAAACTCTTAGCTAGAGCTATCAAATGTGTCTTCTTGAGAATTCTCATCTTCAAAAAGGATATCGGTGTTATTCTTTTGAAACCAAGAGATACTACATGTCTGCTAATGTCACTTTTTTTGAATCATCCTCCTTCTTCCCTTATTCTATGCAGGATATTGATTCTGTCCAACATGTTTTTCCTGTCCTCTTAGTTGAATCATTTGTACCTCCTATTTCTGACACCCCAAATCTCAACCAAAATACTCTAGAATCGTCATCACAGCCTATCATCACCTATCAACGCAGGAACCAGGTGAACAATCCCATTCCCCAAGATGAGTCATCCATAACAGGTCCTTCTCAATCATCTTCTAATACCACAGCTCCTGATAACGATGACTCCAGTTGGCCCATTGCCATTCGCAAAAGGTACTCGTTCTAGTCGTAATCCTCCTCCCATTTACAATTTTCTTAGCTATCATAGATTGTCTCCTTCCTATTATTCTTTTATTTCCTTTGTATCCTCTATTACGATCCCCAAAAATGTGGTCGAAGCACTTGATCATCCTGGATGGCGACAAGCCATGATTTCTGAAATGTAGGCTCTTGATCACAGCAAAACATGGGAGCTGGTTCCTCTCCCTTCGGGAAAGAAAACAGTATGGACTTGATTATTGTGATACTTTTTCTCATGTAGCCAAAATGACCACTGTAGCCAAAATGACCACTTTCTGCCCGTTCCTTGCCATGGCCGCCATTCGTCATTGGCATCTTCAATTGGATATTAAAAGTGCTTTTTTGCACAGTGACTTAGAAGAAGTTTACATGGAGCAACCTCCTGGATTTGTTGCTCAGGGGGAGTCTGGTTTGGTTTGTAAATTACGTCGATCTTTCTATGGCCTAAAACAGTCTCCACGTGCTTGATTTGGAAAATTCAGCTCTATTGTTCAAGCTTTTGGATTAAAACGCAACGTAGCAGATCATTCAGGGGTTTATTGTCACACTGCCCCTGGCAAACATGTTTATTTAATTGTGTACGTTGATGATATTGATATTGTCATCACATGGAATGATGCTGCTAGAATATCTCAGCTAAAAGAGCACTTGTGTAGTCATTTCCAGATCAAGGATCTTGGAAATCTAAAACATTTCTTGGGTATTGAAGTAGCTCAATCAAGAGAAGGTGTTGTCATCTCTCAAAGGAAGTATGATTGATTGCAAACCTGTGGACAGCCCTATGGATCCAAATTTGAAGTTAATGGCAGGACAGGGTGAAGCTTTCTCTGACCCAGAAAGATATAGAAGACTGGTTAGAAAACTTATTTATTTGACTATTACTAGATCTGATTTGTCTTTTGCAGTTAGTGTTGTCAACCAATTTATGCAAGCCCCTTGTGTGGATCATTGGAATGCTATCATTCTAATCCTAAGATACATTAAAAGAGCTCCTGGATAAGGTTTGTTATATGAAGATAAGGGAAATACCCAAATTTTTGGGTACTGTGATGCTGACTGCGCTAGATCTCCTATGGACAGGCATTCCATTACAGGCTACTGTGTTTTCTTTGAAGGTAATATCATTTCATGGAAAAGCAAAATGCAAAACGTTGTTGCCCGATCATCTACTGAAGCTGAATATAGGACAATGGCGTCTCTCACTTGTGAACTTATATGGGTAAAACAATTCTTGCAAGAACTGAACTTCTGTGAGATTCAATCTATGAAGATGTATTGTGATAATCAAGCTGCTCTCCACATTTTTTCCAACCCAATATTTCATGAGAGGACTAAGCATATTGAGATTGACTGTCACTTTATTCGGGAGAAGTTGTTGACTAAAGAAATTTGTACTGAGTTTGTTGGTTCCAATGATCAACTTACATACGCATTAACAAAATCTTTGAGAGGACCTCGAATGGAATTCATTTGTTCCAAGCTTGGTACATTCAATTTGTATGCTCCAGCTTGAGGGAAAGTGCTGAGTATTTATTAGATTAGTTGTATCTTGTTGAGCATTTATGAGATTAGTTGTATCTAACTATAGACCTAGTTCCTAGAATGCATCTGTTTATCTTCTCTAGGTTTAATCATTTCTCTCTATTAATTGTATCTTTATCTCCTATAAATAAGAGAACACAAGATAATAATTTCAAGCTCTCAAAAAAACATTTCTTTATTTTCCAATTATCTATTTCAAGTCTAACCAATCTTTTCAAAACAGTACTGGTAATTATTCTAATCAATACAATGATTAAAGGTTTAATAATGTGTTAGTCCATAATAATAGTTTTAATTACTTATAACACTAATAACAATTCTTAGTAGTAAGCTTTAACACCTGTCATTAGTGAAAATACTTCAATAGTTATTAGCAATTAGATCATATATTAATGTTAAATAGTGCTTAAATTTAGAAACTGAAAGACCAACTGTGCTATTAAATTGTTATCGAAACCAAATTGAACATTAATGAAATTATGGGAGCTAATAGTGAAATTAAGCCTTAAATTTATACTTTAGTACTATATCATATTTTTAGTAATAAAATAATATAAATCAGAAATCATCTTCTAAAATATTGTAGATTAATATAAATGACTAAACTATATGTTCTATAAGATAAAAATTACTACTAGTTGAAAAAATAATTGATACTTATCTTAAACATATACTTTTATCTTTCTTACTGATATTTTAGATTAAATTAAAAATAAATAAATAAAAATAAAATTTGGTTCTGCATCAGTTTTTGACCAGATCTCGCCAATTTTGAATGCGGGATTTCTTTTAAGTTACCAGACCAGTCACCAATCACCAATTGAACCAATAATCTGCTTTGGTTTTCAAAACAGTGCAACTATCATAGTACTGTCGTCGGTTCATACCTGAATATTTTCCAAGTTTTTTAGAGCAACTTTCAGTGGTTCGGTCAACACACAGTATTTCTGGAGAAGTAAACCAGCAGCCTCTTTATCACCTTTGGCTTGTATGGTGAGTATCTCCCTACTCAAGCTTTCAACTGCTTCTTCAATCTTGAGAAAGAAAAACTTTATTAATATCACCCTCTTAGGGTCTAACAAACTAAAGATGGAGGGGACGGCCATAGAAACACTAATTTTGAAGCAATAATACCTTGGTAAAATCAACCGAAATTTTGCTTTCAGAATTCCAGACAAAGGCTCCTTTCTCGTATAACCAGTTGAACTGCAATGCTTGTCCTTTTCTGACAATATGCAGTAATTTAGATGTTAAAATTGCATCACAATAACAAACAACGAAACAAGAATGTAAAGCTAGCAGCGCACCCATGAGCTTCCTCTAAACCAAAACGTACTGAACGGAAGCATCCAGCAAGAAAAGAAACATACATTGACTTCAATAAACTTTCAGAAAGAAAATCCTGGTAAAATTATAGAGAAAATCAATGACATTAGCATCAGTTGTAAGCCCCAAAACAAAGACGTCTCTCTACAAATACAAAACATAACACTGAAACAACTTAGCTACCAAGTGATGACGACAGCTGCATAAAGCATAATTAATATTTCTAAAAATGTGCAAAGCATAGATAATGCTTGATGTTAACTAAATATGTTAATTATAAAGTTGCCCAACAGTTGAGTAAATTTGCACTTGTAGAACATCCGGTTGTCCTACCAAGTCCCAACTTGGATGTTTACAACAAGAAAGTGAGAAGTGTAAATTTGTGCTCAATAAGTTTATAGACGGTCCACCTCGCTTAAGTACAACATAAGAATATAATGCAAGAACTATTGTCTGACATGGATTTTCCAGGGGGTTTGTTTCATAGATATTCAAAGATATTGAATGCATAGTTAGGATGACTCCTGATCTTCCTGTGAGAATAAAAGGGTATAATATCTAACCTGGGAGATTAAAAACCTCAATGCCCAAAGGCCAACTATATCAGCTTTTGCTTCTTCCAGAGCTGAGTGAAGTTCTTGTAATTCCTGGATCAAAAGGATAGATATCACAAATATAATTATATAAAAAATAGATTGGTGGAATGAAGTATACGCAGGATAATATTTTCCTAGGCTTAAGATGCATCGCATTACTTGATTGATAGTATCCAAGGATTACTGAATATAGAAGGGTTGAAATGACAAAATTAGCAAACAAGACTGATAATATTAATTTCTGGACTGATTCCTGGCTTACTGAACCTATTGTCAATTCTATGAACATTTACTTGGCAAGATGGAATGCCTCCTGGCATTGTCTCTAATTTTTGTAGAGAACATTTGAGATTCTTCATGGGTTTTGGTTTGATCCCCACTTTTTGTACTTCTTTTCTCTTTTAAATATATTAAGAATGTCGCATATGATTGATATATGTTGTAGTGCTAACCTGGTTAGGATTACTTACTATAAAAGGGGTTTGATGGGATAAGGTGACTTTTCAGGATTAGAAAGTTGTGAGTGGACCAGACCTCTCAAAATATCTGGATGTCATATCTCCCTCATAGGGAGATATTCCCTATTAAGCAATAAAGATTTACCTTTTCTTGCTATCTCAGTAAAGAATTTTATCAACATGCAAGATATTATTACTCTTCAATTATTTACAATATTTTAACAATTATATGGAGTGACAATAGTAGTATGTACTATTCTCCCCCTCTCACACCCACACACTATTTCATCCCTATGCTACCTTGCGTTTTCTCACACTTGCCTAATGGTCCAGCATTACCAAGTTTAGTCCTAAAAACAGTAAGATTAAAATGCTATCTTTATAGCATCATATCCAAGGAAAATCTTATTAAGTAACTGTAATAATAATAATAATATGAAAATGATATTGTTGAAAGTCCCACCTCGCCTATCTCATGTCATTTGGTATGGTTTAAATACATGTTAGGCTACTCCACATATAGCCAATTGGTTTTATGTTGGAACCTTAACATGGTATCAGAGCTTCCGATCTAGGAAGCTCTGTCTGCGCGCGATAAACCCTAAGACGGCAGCCTGCATTGCTGCTGCATATTTCTTAACCCTAAGACGACAGCCTGCATTGCTGCTGCATTTTTCTTAATCCTAAGACGACAGCCTGCATTGCTGTTGCATCGCACCTTTTTGCTGGAAAACCGTTCTTAGTAAGCTGGAAAAACCTACAGGTATGTGTTCATTGGCATACTCAGGTAAGTTTCCACCTTCTTTTGGATTAAATGTCTCAGATACGCCTTTTAACCATTATTGGATATTGGACTCTGGAGCCACAGATTACATGACACCATTAGCCAAACACTTCTCCACATATTCCCCATGTCCTAGCAACAAGAAAATTGCCACAGCAGATGGAACCCTTATAACTGCAGCTGGTCAAGGAAATATCCGAATCAATCATTTAATAACCTTAAAAGATGTTCTCCATGTCCCAAAGCTCTCCACGAACCTAGTGTCTATACAAAAACTTATAAAGGATTTGTCATGTAAAGTTGTTTTTTTCAACGATCATTGTGTATTTCAGGACAAGGATTCGGGGAGGATGATTGGACATGCTAGAGAATGGAATGACCTTTATTATCTCGAAGATCCAAGTCTGCCCAGCAAGAATAGAATCTCTCACTCCTTCATATTTGAATCCTTGATGAGCAATAGAGAAAAAATCATGCTTTATCATTGTCGGTTGGGACATCCCCCTCTTTTGGAGTGATCAAAATTATGTTTCCCTCTCTGTTTACCAAGTTAGATATTGAGAGTCTTCATTGTGAGGTGTGTGAACTTGCTAAGCACAAGCGTATATCTTTTCCAATAAGTAATAGAATTAGCAATTTCCCTTTTTATCTTGTTCATACTGATATATGGGGACCTTCTAATATTCCAAATGTGTCTGGTACTCGATAGTTTGTCACCTTTATAGATGACTGTACAAGGGTCACTTGGGTTTTCTTACTTAAACAAAAATCAGAAGTCAGTTCTGTCTTCCTAAACTTCCACTCCACGATAAAAAATCAGTTCGGTGTTAATATTAAGAGGCTTAGGTCAGATAATGTCAAAGATTACTTCAATCATGTCCTTAATTCTTTTTGTCAAAAAGAAGGTATAATTCATGAGTCCTCTTGTGTCAAAACACCACAATTGAATGGGGTCGCAAAGAGGAAAAATGGACATCTATTAAATCAAACTCGGGCATTGTTGTTCCAAAAAAGTGTCCCAAAAAATTTTCGGGGGAAGCTATCCTTACAGCAACATACCTTATCAATAGACTACCCTCTAGAGTCTTAGGATCAAAAAGCCCTATGGAAGCTTTGTCGTCTTTCTATCCAAACTTGTCTACTACAAATAATCTTAAACCAAAAGTTTTTTGATGCATCTCATATGTTCATATTCATAGTACAGATAGGGGGAAACTTGATCCTAGAGCCTTAAAGTGTTCACCCAAAGGGTTCACCCAAACCTATGGAATTGATTATTTGGAGACCTTTGCTCCGGTTGCCAAAATGAACACAGTTAGGGTGATATTATCCCTTGCTGCCAATTATGATTGGAACTTGGAACAATTTGATGTTAAGAATGCTTTCCTACATGGAAACCTTGAAGAAAAAATTTATATGGAGATACCTCCGGGATATGGTAAAGATGTTGCTGCCAACACTGTTTGCAAGTTGAAAACAGCATTATATGGGTTAAAACAGTCCCCTAAAGTTATGACAGGTTTGGGTTACAAACAAAGCCAAGGGGACCATACTTTGTTTTTTAAACATTCCAAGTGAGGGGGAGTAACAATATTATTGGTGTATGTGGATGACATTAACTGGAGATAATAAAGAAGAGCAACAATTATTGAGTCAATGCTTAGGCAAGGAATTTGAGATCAAGACCTTGGGAAAACTAAAATATTTTTTGGGAATTGAAGTTGCCCACTCCGAGAAAGGGATATTTATATCTCAGCAGAAATACATCACTGATTTGCTCAAGGAAACTGGAAAGGCAGCTTGCAAACCTGCTAGTACCCCATTAGAACCAAACCTAAAGCTTGGAAATGCAGAAGATGTTGCTGTTGAAAAAGATATGTACCAAAGATTAGTGGACAGACTTATATATTTGTCGCATACCAGGCCAGATATTGCCTATGCAGTGAGTTTAATTAGCCAATTTATGCATAGCCCAAAGGAGACCTATTTACAAGCTGCCCACAGAATTTTACAGTACCATAGAGGAACTCCGGGAAGAGGGATTCTATTCAAAAGGAATGGTAATGTGAAGCTTGAAGCCTATATCGATGCTGATTGTGCGGGGTCAATTGTGGATAGGAGGTCAACTACGGGATATTGCACCTTTCTTGGAGGAAATCTTGTGACTTGGAGAAGCAAAAAGCGAGGTGTAGTGGCTCGGTCCAGTCTTTGAAGTAGAATTCGAGCCATGGCACAAGGTGTATGTGAGTTGTTATGGCTTAAAATCATCTTAGAAGATTTGAGGATAAAGTGGGAAGAACCTATGAAGCTCTATTGTGATAATAAGTCAGCAATCGGTATAGCCCACAACCCGGTGCAGCATGATAGAACAAAGCATATTGAAGTAGACAGACACTTCATCAAAGAAAAGCTTGATAGTGGCTTGATATGCACTCCATATGTGTCCTCTCATGACCAAATTGCAGACATTCTTACCAAGGGACTGGGCTGCCATAATTTTGAGAAGATTGTATCCAAGCTGGGAATGGAAAACATCTATTCACCAGCTTGAGGGGGAGTGTGGGAAATCAAATAGTATTTTAGGAAAGAATAAATCGGGAAATTTGTATATTTCCTTGTAATCTGTCATGATTTGAATAATTAGGAACAATCCCATAAATCAAGTGATCCTAGCATAAAATAAAGTTATTATATTTCCTAAAATAGCTTAGGTCTCCTGTATATATCTTATATCATCTCTTTGTATTAAAATAAAAAAAAATCATATTTCAGTTAATCTAATTTTTCAGATGGTATCAGAGCCAAAGCCTAACATCTTTCCGATTATTGTCATGGGCCAAAAGTTGCCCTTTAGTTGGGTCAAAAGTACCCTTTGCCTGGTCCGGCAGGCTTTGTTGGAGAGGGTGTGTTGAAAGTCCCACATCGTCTATCCCATGTCATTTGGTATAGTTTAAATACATGTTAGGCTACTCCACATATAGCCAATTGGTTTTATGTTGGAACCTTAACAGATATTATTCTGGCCAATCTGTCAGTAAGTTTACTATAGAAATTTAGCAATCAAAGAAATTGCTCAAATGAGGTATATGTAACTGACCAATCTGACAGTAGATTTTTGGCCATTTGGAAGTATTATGGTATGCGGTCCAATTCCATGGCAGCATTCATGGCAAATTGTGAAAGTGAAGAATGATTCAAAATCTACATGTTCTTGTTGCTCCTCTGCTACACAGGCAGCAGCTATAGGAAGAAGAATATGCTTGAACCTGTTAATGGAAATACATTTAGAAAAAGATGTCATGGAAATGACCAATTCACGATTGTAACTTGTAACTTCAAGAAACTAGAAATTTTATTGTCAGAAACTTTACTTGGCCTCTGAAACATTCTTAAGCATGACCATTGATGATCCCCGGTCTTTCACAATACACTCGTCATTTGGTAGATTGAAAGCAAGAGTTTGTGGTCCCTTGACATCCTGAAATAATTCATTAGTGTAAAATTTCCAGTTTGAAGTTTTAAGCATAAATTATTGCATTACAATTGAGAATGCCTTTCAGATATTATTAGAAAGGATACGGAAAACTTGCCAAGCATCATAACTTCTTAAGCCATATATTATGGACTGTGTTATTAACCCATTAAAATTCAACAAGAACTGCACAATTTCTGTCAAATTCAAAACTAAGAACTCAGAGACATCTTTCCTTACTTTCATTATACACACACAGAGACAGACAAAGACCCAAACAATATTCAAATATTCCTAACACTCACCCCTGCATTATATAGAAGTTGGATAACACGGATAGGTGCTGCCTTCACATCTTTTGATTTGTATGCACTGTCCATAGGGAGATTTTGCTCCAGAAGCTTAAGAGGTAGAAGTATTTGAGAATTGAGATGTCAAATACACTTGATTTAGAAAAAATAAAAACCAACAAATTTAAAATGAAATGCTTCAAGTTAAGTACCTGCAGATTATCACCAAAGAGTTTCAATTGAGCTGATGCTTCATCGTCCCTGATTCCAACGTATGCTTCAAAGGTAGCCTAAAAGAATTGCAAAGCAATTATTGAGTCATTAATTCAAAGGCAGTGTCATATGTCTTTTCAAGAGGGATAATGCTGGTAAATTTCCAGTAAATTTTGACTGTCACATAATTTATATTTTTTTTATTTGTGATGGTGTAAAGAATTTAGAGATTCAAACCAGAACAAGGCATCCATATTCAATAGATGATTTCACCGATATGCTTCAAACTTTATTGCACCTGAACTAGGTCTATTAATCTCTCTGACCAATAAATGTTATTTTATGCTTACCGCAAAGCACCTTTCCAGACCATATATTTTATTCATCGTTATTCTTCCAAGTGTTACTATTGTCAAATAATGAATGGGATATGTGAAATGACAACTGTCACTGAAACATATTTCACATATGGTTGTACTAATATTTTCTCTATATGGAATCATCCAGTCAATCTCAAATTATGCAGGAATAGTTCAAACTATGAAGAACCTATGAGAATACAAGGAATGCAACCACATAAATTATGTGTTATAAAATATGACATTAAATACAGACATTCTTGGTAATTAACACAATTTTTCCTTCGACAAGCAAGGCCATAAACCCAGAACACAGATCTTCAAATCTAAATTTGAAATTTTATAAATGAAAAAAATATTATGGCCATTGTCAAACAATTTCATTAAATAGTGTAAGGATAGTGTTTGTTTACTATCTTTTAAGCGACTTTGTAGAAGTTGTTTTTTGTTGTATACATTTTATCAGAAAGATAGTATAAACTTTTAAAAGACTAAATCGCAACCCAACACGCTAATTTGCACTTTTTCTGATCTTGGACAGTGATTCCCCCGATCCTACACTGTTTTGATCTCATGTAGAAACTGAAACGGTCATGGGGTGCATAAGTGATAGATTGTATCCAAGGCCTAGGGATGAACTTTTTTTTGTTTCTTTTTCTCTCTTTACCCTTAATCCTAATCCCTAAACTTACATGTATATATATATATATATATATGAATTTGAAGAGAGATCTAAGTGACATTTCTCAATTACATTTTAAAATATATTCTTGTTCAAGTTGGTATCAAGTGGGTCAAACCCTCTTTTGTTGTTCAACTTCTAGTTGAACTGCAGGCCCTCTTGAAGACCTTCTGGGCTATCGTTTTACCCTTTCATCCTCCATATAAGCCTTTCAGGCCTGCTCACTCCTTTTCTAGGTCTGCCACAATTACATCAAAAAAGCTTAATGGCAAAAATTAACTATCTTGATCTGCATCTATTGAGCTTTGGTTTCTTGGCCAAGGTTTCCAAGATCACTTGGAAAAGAATAATAGTGCAATATCAATAGAAAATGTTGAACAATAAAAAGCTGGATTTTCAACTTTGTACTCTATTGTGGTAATATTTGGAACCCAATACTTAAGAACCCTCAAAACATTTGAAACGTGTGAATCCTTATGGAAGAAGGTTGAAAGTAATTTTGCAAAAAATTACATACAATGGATTTTCTGAGAAAAATAGATTAACTGAAATATGATATTTTATTATATCAATACAAAGAGATGATATAAGATATATACAAGAGACCTAAACTATTTTAGGAAATATAATAACTCTATTTTATGCTAGGATCCCTTGATTTATGGGATTGTTCCTAATTACTCAAATGCATGACAGATTACAAGGAAATATACAAATTTCCTTATTTATTCTTTCCTAAAATACTATTTGATTTCTCACACTCCCCCTCAAGCTGGTGAATAGATGTTTTCCATTCCCAGCTTGGATACAATCTTCTCAAAATTATGGCAGTCCAGTCCCTTGGTAAAAATGTCTGCAATTTGGTCTTGAGAGGACACATATGGAGTGCATATCAAGCCACTATCAAGCTTTTCTTTGATGAAGTGTCTGTCTACTTCAATATGCTTTGTTCTATCATGCTGCACTTGGGTTGTGGGCTATACTGATTGCTGACTTATTATCACAATAGAGCTTCATAGGTTCTTCCCACTTTATCCTCAAGTCTTCTAAGATGATTTTAAGCCATAGCAACTCACATATACCTTGTGCCATGGCTCGGAATTCTGCTTCAAGCATCTGGACCAGAGCCACTACACCCCGCTTTTTGCTTCTCCAAGTCACAAGATTTCCTCCAAGAAAGGTGCAATATCCTGTAGTTGACCTCCTATCCACAATTGACCCTGCATAATCGGCATCAGTATAGGCTTCAAGCTTCACATTACCATTCCTTTTGAATAGAATCCCTCTTCCTGGAGTTCCTTTAAGGTACTGTAAAATTCTGTGGGCAGCTTGTAAATGGGTCTCCTTTGGGCTATGCATAAATTGGCTAATTAAACTCACTGCATAGGCAATATCTGGCCTGGTATGTGACAAATATATAAGTCTGCCCACTAATCTTTGGTACATACCTTTTTCAACAGCAACATCTTCTTCTGCATTTCCAAGCTTTAGGTTTGGTTCTAATGGGGTACTAGCAGGTTTGCAAGCTGCCTTGCCAGTTTCCTTGAGCAAATTAGTGATGTATTTCTGCTGAGATATAAATATCCCTTTCTCGGAGTGGGCAACTTCAATTCCCAAAAAATATTTTAGTTTTCCCACAGTCTTGATCTCAAATTCCTTGCCTAAGCATTGACTCAATAATTGTTGCTCTTCTTTATTATCTCCAGTTAATATTATGTCATCCACATACACCAATAATATTGTTACTCCCCCTGACTTGGAATGTTTAAAAAACAAAGTATGGTCCCCTTGGCTTTGTTTGTAACCCAGACCTGTCATAACTTTAGTAAACCTGCCAAACTGTTGAAAGTCCCACATCGCCTACCTCATATCATTTGGTATGGTTTAAATACATGTTAGGTTACTCCACATATTGCCAATTGGTTTTATGTTGGAACCTTAACATGGTATCAAAGCCAAAGCCTAACATCTTTCCGGTTATTGTCATGGGCCAAAAGTTGCCCTTTAGTTGGGTCAAAAGTACCCTTTGCCTGGTCCGACAGGCTTCGTTGGAGGGGGTGTGTTGAAAGTCCCACATCGCCTACCTCATATCATTTGGTATGGTTTAAATACATGTTAGGCTACTCCACATATTGCCAATTGGTTTTATGTTGGAACCTTAACACAAACCATATCCCGGAGGTATCTCCATATAGATTTCTTCTTCAAGGTCTCCATGTAGGAAAGCATTCTTAACATCAAATTGTTCCAAGTTCCAACCATAATTGGCAGCAAGGGACAATATCACCCTAATTGTGTTCATTTTGGCAACCGGAGCAAAGGTCTCCAAATAATCAACTCCATAGGTTTGGGTGAACCCTTTGGCAACTAGTCTTGCCTTATATCTCTCAATTGATCCATCAGCCTTGTATTTCACTGTATAGACCCATTTACATCCAACTGGCCTCTTTCCTATTGGTAAGGTGACTAACTCCCAAGTGTTGTTCTTCTCCAATGCCTCCATCTCTTCATCCATGGCTTGCCTCCATTTTACTGTCGACAATGCCTCGGGTAGGGTATTAGGTAGAAGTACGGTGTTTAGGTTTACTAGGAAGGTTTTATGGGTAGGAGAGAAATTTTTAAAGGACAGGTAATTTGAGAGAGGGTAGAGTGGTCTGTGTGGTGCATTTTCTTGTTCCTTTTCTAATGGCAATTGGGAGGTCGGGATCATTTTGGGTTTCAATTTCAACCTCGCACATACTGGAGAAAAAATTGTTACCTCTTTTTGTGGAGTCGAGTTGGATTCTTGAACATGGCTTGATCCTGGAATGGCCTTAGTCTTCCTTGAGTACACCGAGCTTCTTACCAAATTTTCCAGTTTCAACATCTTCTTGATCAGCTTCACAATTAATTTCACTTTCTTGACCAACTTCCTTTGCTTGACCAATTCCTTGACTTATTTCATTTGTTACAACTTCAATTTGATCTTCAATTTGATCTTGTTTAGGTTCAAATATCAAGTCCGGAAGAATGGGAAAACCAGAATTACTACTTTCAATATGATTTCGTTTAGGTTCAAATGTCAAGTCCGGAAGAATGGGAAAACCAGAATCACTACTTTCCTTATCTTCCCCGAAACTCTCCCCTTAAAGATAAGGTTGATGGAAATAGCCCTCTTGTTCATTGAAGGTAACATCCCTAGACACAAAGAATTTTTTGGATGGGGGGTGGTAGCATTTATACCCTTTTTGAGTGGGTGAGTAACCAACAAAGACACACTTTAAGGCTCTAGGATCAAGTTTTCCCCCGTCTCGTACTATGAATATGGACATATGAGATGCACCCAAAAACTCTTGGTTTAAGATTATTTGTAGTAGACAAGTTTGGATAGAAAGACGACAAAACTTCCATAGGGCTTTTTGATCCTAAGACTCTAGAGGGTAGTCTATTGATAAGGTATGTTCGTCGTAAGGACAGACTTCCCCCTAGAAATTTTTTGGGACACTTTTTTGGAACAACAATGCCCGAGTCTGATTTAATAGATGTCCATTTTTCCTCTTTGCGACCCCATTACGTTGTGGTGTTTTGACACAAGAGGACTCATGAATTATACCTTCTTTTTGACAAAAAGAATTAAGGACATGATTGAAGTAATCTTTGGCATTATCCGACCTAAGCCTCTTAATATTAACACCAAACTGATTTTTTATCATGGAGTGGAAGTTTAGGAAGACAGAACCGACTTCGATTTTTGTTTAAGTAGGAAAACCCAAGTGACCCTTGTACAGTCATCTATAAAGGTGACAAACCATCGAGTACCAGACACATTTGGAATATTAGAAGGTCCCCATACATCAGTATGAACAAGATAAAAAGAGAAATTGTTAATTCTATTACTTATTGGAAAAGATATACGTTTGTGCTTAGCAAGTTAACACACCTCACAATGAAGACTCTCAACATCTAACTTGGTAAACAGAGAGGGAAATATAATTTTGATCACTCCAAAAGAGGGATGTCCCAACCGACAATGATAAAGCATGATTTTTCTCTCGTTGGTCATCAAGGATTCGGATATGAAGGAGTGAGAGATTCTATTCTTGCTGGGCAGACTTGGATCTTCGAGATAATAAAGGTCATTCCATTCTCTAGCATGTCCAATCATCCTCCCCGAATCCTTATCCTGAAATACACAATGATCGTTGGAAAAAACAACTTTACATGACAAATCCTTTATAAGTTTTTGTATAGACACTAGGTTCGTGGACAACTTTGGGACATGGAGAACGTCTTTTAAGGTTATTAAAGGATTGATTTGGATATTTCCTTGACCAACTGCAGTTATAGGTGTTCCATCTCGCTGTGGCAATTTTCTTGTTGCTTGGGACATGGGGAATATGTGGAGAAGTGTTTGGCTAATGGTGTCATGTGATCTGTGACTCCAAAGTCCAATATCCAATAGTGGTTAAAAGGCGTATCCGAGACATTTAATCCAAAAGAAGGTGGAAACTTACCCGAGTATGCCAAAGAACACATACCTGTAGGTTTTTCCGACTTACTAAGAATGGTTTTCACCCTTTCTATCTCCTCTTCCCTTGACATTATAGCAAAAGGTGCGATGCAACAACAATGCAGGTTGTCGTCTTAGGATTATGAAAAATGCGGCAGCAATGCAGGTCGTCGTCTTAGGATTAAAAAATGCAACAGCAATGTAGGCTGCCGTCTTAGGGTTAAGAAAAATGCAGCGAGCAATGCAGGCTGCCATCTTAGGGTTACAAAATATGCAGCGAGCAATGCAGGCTGCCGTCTTAGGGTTTATTGAGCGCAGACAGAGCTTCCTAGATCGGAAGCTCGATACCATCTGAGAAAAATAGATTAAGCTGAAATATGATATTTTATTATATCAATACAAAGAGATGATATAAGATATATACAAGAGACCTAAACTATTTTAGGAAATATAATAACTCTATTTTATGCTAGGATCCCTTGATTTATGGGATTGTTCCTAATTATTCAAATTTGTACAGATTACAAGGAAATATACAAATTTCCTTATTTATTCTTTCCTAAAATACTATTTGATTTCTCACAGATTTATTATTTTTCCCATAACCTTGTATCTCTTAAAACAAACAAATCATGACATAACATCTTTCATCATTGAAGGTCAATCTGCTGTTGAGATGTTAAAAGAAGTTCTTAGAAGTTGATTTAATATAATAAATTAAGAAGTTGAACAAGTTATATATGCTTATGATCTTTCATGCCATGAATCTAGATTTTCATCATATTCGGGATCAAATCTTAACCAATCAAAAAATTCCATCAATGGAAAGCTTAACAAAATTTCTATGTCCTAACCCTTAAAAGTAGCAATCTTCATGAATCTAGAAGTGTTTGTTCATGGTATCTACTCATGAAAAGGGAGATCATGACAATAGAGGAGGATGTGGTTGTCGAAGATGTTCTCAATGCTCATATTGTAAAAGAATGAATCATATTCAAGAGAATTGTTACTCTCTGCATGGCTTTCCTGATTAGAAAGTCAATAGGTTTAAATCTAAAATGGTCGAACCAAAGTTTTCTAATAAAGAATATCAAGAAATTTGAGATTAAAATCCACCAACATAACACAACCTTTTACAAACCCCAATTTATCAATAACTACCATATCACAATCCAGGAATAGTTAAAGTCCATAAATAATTGAATCAGGTGTTTTTGATGTCAACCTTTTACATCCTAGTTCTCTTCCATTTCTTCCCCTTAATTTTCTCACTTTAGAAGCTTATCCTATGTGTTAGATATTGTTAGTCACAATATCTTATAATTAACATATTTATGTGTATTTGTCACATTTCCTTGTATTACTCTTCATTATAAATATATTATCCTATGTGTATTTTACATACAAGGAAGATTAACCCTGTACCTAGTTTTCACTATATTCAACACTATGGATCCAAGGTTTCCTATTGTTCCTACATGCCTATTTGTTCTACTCGCAATCTTCATCCTATTTACAATTTTCTAAGTTATCATTGATTGTCTCTTTTCTATTTTTCATTTATCTCATTCGTCTCTTCTATTGTGAATTGTAAAAATGTAAATGAAGCACTTATCATACTAAATTGTGATCAGTCATGATTGTTGAAGTTCAAGTTCTTGAACATAATAGCACATGCAAATTAGTTCATCTTCCACCTGGGACAAAGATAAATGGAAGTCAATTGGTTAGAATCTAGATATGTTAGGCTACTGCCCTAAGTTTTAATGATAACAAATATTATATGTTTATGTACTTTAATCATCTTGTGAAGTTTGTGCACAGGCCATATAATTCGGTTGTTTACTAAAGGCGAATTATACACAAATCTTCATGACTATACAAGAATTTATGAAGAAGAAGCGTGCATCCAATACTGCCAATTGTAATGGACCAATTGTTACCAAGAGAACAACAATTTTTCATCCAAGATGAACAAGCAAAAGCTACAAGGAAAACCTCTTTGCTATCAATTTTTAAGAAAAGATATAAGTTTACTATCTAGAAACAAAAAGCACAATCACGCAATAAGCTAACCAATTCTACAAAGGTTATCAGCTTTTTCCAAGCTAGAAATATCATAAGCAATATTGAAGATCGTTCTCTAAGTGAATTAGCCCAACCTCGAAGTAAGCAACTTTTCGCATTGTTTCCAACCCTGTATTTCATGAGTGAATCAAACACAAAAATTGACAATCATTTTGTTCAAGAAAAGTTATTGTCCAAGGAAATTTGTACGAAGTTGGTTTGTTATAATGATCAACTTGTAGATATTTTGACGAAATCTTTGAGAGGACCTCGATTCAATTTATATGTTCCAAACTTAGTACATATATAATTTGTAACATATGAGGGAGTATTAGAATAGTTAATATTATCTTCTGAGCAACTTTGTAAAAGTTGTTTTCTGATGTATCTATTTGTCATTAGTCTTAAGAGTAAACTTTATTTTATTTCCTTTTCTCTCTCTTTATACTGCAAGATACATCTCTCTCTCATTCTCTGTTTCTCTCTCTCTCTCAATATGGCATCATTTTGAAAAGTAAGAACTGTTCCAACATGAAAAAACCATCGAAGTTTAATATATTCATAGGACTTTAATTGTATATGCTGCCCAAAGCTGCATTTGGAATTACCTTATATCCAAAAAGTTTATCCTCATAAGTTTCATATGGCCCAATAGTGACATCGAATTTAGAGTCCTGCAAGAAAATAGAAAGTAGTAAATATATCTTTATCCTAAAATTTATCACAATAAATACGCATTACAATAAGGATACTAACATGCATAATTTAGAGAAAGACTCTTTGGCCCAAATTGCTTACTAGTAAAAACGCCTATCCATGAAAACATAATTTTCAAGTGATAAGGATTTCTTAGATTGAATGTGCATGGTCATTTAACGTATTGCATGATCAGATTCTGAGTTCCATCAAGTATCGATGGGAAGCATGAAGTTACTGTGAACGCATTTGGTTTGGTGTGTGGATGGAAGGGTGTTAAAATATACAAAACACACAATTTGGATGAAGACCATTTAATAATAAGTAAAAGCCAAAGATTCACAATAATTTTTTACTATTTCCCCTTCTCTCCAAATAAAACAAATTATTTTGTCAAATTTAGATTCAAAATGATCCCTAACTGACATTTTCTTTAGCTGCCAAAAATTTCCAAGGTACTTGTTGATATACAGGACAAAAATTAAAAAAGAACCATGTCCCCACATTTATTAAAAACAATTTGGTAATAAGTTAAAACAATATAACATTATAGTATTTGATCACATCAAAAAAAAAAAATATATCATCTTGTGCTCAGGTAAATCTTTGGATTTAGTCAACCAGATGCAGTTAAGAGAAAAGTCACGATGTTCTCTATTTTGTTTCACAAAGGAAATTAAACAAACTCTATACAGGAGAGAAAGGAAATAACTATGGGAGAAAAGAGGAATAGATATTGTTATAAAGTGAAGGAGAAGTTAGTAAGATAGTTAGAATATTAATGAGTTAGTTAGTTGCTCAAGGTATTTGTTTACATATAAATAGGGTAAGAAGGATAGGAGAAGACTGTTCATATTTTTGTAAATTGAGCATTAGCTCTTTGTGAAAGGAGAAACCTTTGTAAAGGAGAAACCCTTGGAGGAGAGAGTGCTCTCCTATTTTTTGTTATTTTCATCTATTCAATAAAAATATTTCTTTTCTTTTTCTGTTCAATCCTTGGTTCCTAACAAATTGGTCCGACCTGCCAAATCTTTGAGGGAAAACCAATGTCAAAGATGGAGGAAACACAACTTTTGTCCATTGGGGGAAGCTGTCAGCGTTTGTGTGGGTATATCCAATTGGTTGGATTGCTATGGCTGAAAAATTTTGAGTATAAAAAATTGATTCTTTTCATAAGCTGTAACATGCATTCATGAGCATGGAGGGTGTGGCAATGCATTGGTTCAATTATTGGTGCTAAGATAACCCGGATTCAGATTGAGAATCATTTTCAACAGTTTTGATAAAAAAAATTCAAAGATACCTATGGTAGCCTCATCTTTGAAAGATTGACTAGCATCAAGCAAGAAGAGAAAACCGAGATTAAAACATGCAGCAAAATAATGGAGACTTACACAGTGTTCTTGAAAGTGATTAGAGGGAAGTGGATCAAAATGCATTACTGTTGAAAGTCCCACATCGCCTACCTCATATCATTTGGTATGGTTTAAATACATGTTAGGCTACTCCACATATAGCCAATTGGTTTTATGTTGGAACCTTAACATGGTATCAGAGCCAAAGCCTAACATCGTTCCGGTTATTGTCATGGGCCAAAAAGTTGTCCTTTAGTTGGGTCAAAAATACCCTTTGCCTGGTCCGGCAGGCTTCGTTGGAGGGGGTGTGTTGAAAGTCCCACATCGCCTACCTCATATAATTTGGTATGGTTTAAATACATGTTAGGCTACTCCACGTATTGCCAATTGGTTTTATGTTAGAACCTTAACATGGTATCAGAGCCAAAGCCTAACATCTTTCCGGTTATTGTCATGGGCCAAAAGTTGCCCTTTAGTTGGGTCAAAAAGTACCCTTTGCCTGGTCCGGCGGGCTTCGTTGGAGGGGGTGTGTTGAAAGTCCCACATCGCCTACCTCATATCATTTGGTATGGTTTAAATACATGTTAGGCTACTCCACATATTGCCAATTGGTTTTATGTTGGAACCTTAACAATTACAATAGAGACTAATTCTTGGACAAGAAAGATCGAACTACCCACATTAGATGGAAGGATAGAAGGGGAAACTCATGAGAGAGTGGCAGTTTTGAGTTAAGGGTGATTGCAATTATTGAAATCAAAAAATAGAAGTAAAGAAGAAGACTTGGAATCAAGAATCACACCTTTTGTAGTGAAGAAGAAACCAAAAATGAAGAGAAATTAGCAAGAGAAGTAAAAATCATGATGGAAGAAAATGTTGATGCATCCATAAAGAATGCAAAGATCAGTTTCTTGACAACCAAATCATAGAGTTAATCAAAAAGGAAGTTGAAGATAGAGATGTAACCAAACATTATTTTATTCCAAATTCAGATTTCCATATTAAGAATCAAGAATCATTGTTGGACCCAAATTTGATAGTAAAGGGGGTTGGAACATCAATGCCATTAGAATTTGGGAATTTTAATTTGTTTGGTGATCCTTTAACAATATTAAATTTCATTGCCTCTATGGATCACAACTTGGCAATGGAGTCTATGCAGAAGGAAGGTTCAAAGGTTGTTATACAAAATCCACCCTCATTCCCACCACCACCCAAGCCACCAGACTTTGAATGCAATAGCCATTGGTTCTCATTCCTGTAGCAAAAAAGCCTCACATGCAAACAGGAAGGGCAAATGAAGATCATGGTAATGAGAATGAGCAATGAGATCAAGCTTCCACTATTCCAAACTTGAGGACAAGGTTGGTTTTAGGTGGGGTGTATTGTTAGGATATAAAGTGAAGGAGAAGTTAATAAGATAGTTAGTGTATTAATGAGTTAGTTAGTTGCTTAAGGTGTTGTAGAGATATAAATAGGGTAAGAAGCATAGCAGAAGGCAGTTCATATTTTTATAACTTGAGCATTAGCTCTTTGTGAAAGGAGAAACCCTTTGTGAAAGGAGAAACCCTTTATGAAGGGGAAACCCTTGAAGGAGAGAGTGCTCTCCTATTTTCTGTTATTTTCATTGTATTCAATAAAAATATTTCTTTTCTTTTTCTGTTCAATTCTTGTTTCCTAAGAGATATCCTAAACTATCATCAAAGTAGAGTAGTGTGTCCATTTCATGCATGACTAAGAATACAGACATGTGAACTGGGGGAACCTTGCTAAAAATAGCATTCTTCAACTTCGAATAAACTTTCTCGTTAGCATTAGTGAAGTTAACAGTCCAACTACATAGGTATTTAGAAATAAAACATTTAAATACTGAAGTTCTTTTTTTATATGTTGAATATAGGGAAAAACTGTATAGGGTTAATTTCCCTTGTGTATTTACCACACATAGGGCAGTGTATTTATAATAAAGAAAGGTACTCCTCAAAAGAGTAACAGAATACAAATAGGGTAAATAAAAGATATTATTTGATATTGTGATTAACAATATCTAACAATATCTCAACAATATCAAATAATATCAACTAATATCTAATCATATCTAACACTCCCCCTCAAGCTGGAGCATACAAATCGTATGTGCCTAGCTTGGTACAAAGATAATCCATCCTAGGTCCCCGTAAAGACTTAGTGAAAATATCTGCTAATTGATCACATGAGTTAACGAACTCAGTCTTGATGTCTCCAGACATAATCTTTTCTCGAATAAAATGGCAGTCAATCTCAATGTGTTTAGTCCTCTCATGAAAGACAGGATTAGAGCTTATATGGAGAGCAGCCTGATTGTCACACACTAGTGTCATTTGAGTGACATCTCCAAATTGTAGCTCTTTAAGCAATTGCTTGAGCCAAATAAGTTCACAGGTAGCTGAGGCCATAGCTCTATACTCGCTTCTGCACCTGGATCTTGCCACAACACTTTGTTTCTTACTTTTCCATGAGATCAAGTTACCACCAATGGAAACACAATACCCGGATGTAGATCTTCTATCGGAGGGAGATCCTGCCCAATCAAGCATCCGAATAGCGAGACAACTCTTGTATGATTATGGGAGTCATACACCAAACCTTTTCCAGGAGACTTTTTGATGTACTTCAATATACGGATGACTGCATTCCAATGATCTTGACAAGGAGAATTGAGGAATTGACTCACCACACTGATCGCAAAGGAAATGTCGGGCGAGTAACTCGTAAGATAATTTAATTTTCCAACTAATCTTCTATACTCGTTCGGGATCCGACATTGGCCCCCCGATTTGGCAAGAGTTTGGTATTAGGATCCATGGGTGTGTCAACAGGCTTTGAATTCATCAACCCAGTTTCCTCCAAAATATCCAATGCATACTTTCTTTGAGATATAACAATGCCATCGGTAGATTGTGCTACCTCAGTACCCAAGAAATATCCGAGTTTGCCAAGATCTTTGGTTTGAAAATGGTGGCAAAGGTGTTGTTTCATCCGAGAGATGCCATGATGGTCACTACCTGTAAGAACAATGTCATCGACATACACTATCAAATAGATACATCCAACATTCGAGTGACGGTAAAAGACCGAGTGGTCTCGCCTCACTTCTAGTCATGCCAAATTGTTGAACAACGTCTGCTAAATTTGCCAAACCAGGCCCTAGGAGACTGTTTTAGGCCATATAAAGATTTGCGAAGACGACATACCAATCCGGAAGACTCCCCCGAGCAACAAATCCGGGAGGTTGCTCCATATAAATCTCTTCTTGCAAATCGCCATTCAAGAAAGCATTTTTGACATCCGAGTTGATAAAGAGGCCATTGTTGAATAGCGGCCATGGCAATGAATAAACGAACGAAGCCATCTTTGCCACTCGGAGAGAAAGTATCACCATAATCCAACCCAAAAATTTGGGTATAGCCTTTGGCTACAAGGCGAGCTTTGAGGCGATCAATAGTACCATCAGGACCAACCTTGATAGCGAAGACCCACCCGCAACCAACAACAGATTTTCCAGATGGTAATGGGACAAGCGTCCGGGTTCCACTAGTCTCGAAGAGCACCGAGTTCATCTAGCATGGCCTGACGCCAACCGGGGTGGGCTAAGGCTTCGAGACAGATTTAGGAATAGACACGGAAGAAATAGACGAGAGACATGTATAAAATGGTGAAGAAATTCGATGATAACTAATAGCAGTATAATGTGGAGAAGGATTACGAGTAGAACGCGTACCTTTACGAAGGGCAATAGGAAGGTCGGACTCGTGGACTGAACCGGAGGAGGCGAGTATTTGGCACTGGGAGTGAGTCATGTGGCGTCTGTTGTGGGTGAGGTCTGCGACTATAAACCTGAAGGGGTGGTGGAGGAGGAGGGGCTAATGGTGGATGGTCCTCAATATAAGGATCAATGAGAACAGGAATGGGAACTGTAGCAGATGGAGACTCAGCAGGTAGGGAAGGGTCCTTAAAGTAAAAGGAAAACTCATTGAAGGTGACATCGGCAGACACAAAATAGCGATTAAGAGAAGGAGAAAAACACTTGTATCCTTTTTGGGATCGAGTAAATCCTAAGAAAACACATTTGTGTGATCGAGGAGATAACTTATCATGACCAGGATCAAAATTGTGGACAAAACAGGTAGACCCAAAAACCTTCAGAGGTAAAGGATGGAGAGTGTCATGAGGAAATAAAATAGAATGGGGAATTTTGTTATCTAAAACCGAAGAGGGCATACGATTAATAAGATAACAGGCAGTAAGAACAGCATCACCCCAAAAATGTTGAGGAACCGCACCATGAATTAAAAGAGTACGGGTTGTTAAGGTTCCAACATAAAACCAATTGGCAATATGTGGAGTAGCCTAACATGTATTTAAACCATACCAAATGATATGAGGTAGGCGATGTGAGACTTTCAACACACCCCCTCCAACGAAGCCTACCGGACCAGGCAAAGGGTACTTTTGACCCAACTAAAGGGAAACTTTTGGCCCATGACAATAACCGGAAAGATATTAGGCTTTGGCTCTGATACCATGTTGAATATAGGGAAAAACTGTATAGGGTTAATTTCCCTTGTGTATTTACCACACATAGGGCAGTGTATTTATAATAAAGAAAGGTACTCCTCAAAAGAGTAACAGAATACAAATAGGGTAAATAAAAGATATTATTTGATATTGTGATTAACAATATCTAACAATATCTCAACAATATCAAATAATATCAACTAATATCTAATCATATCTAACATTATACAAGAGAGAAACTAGATAATATTCGGTATTATTCTGCAGCAAGTCTCACCATTTTGTTTAGGACCTCATTTATAATGGTTGTAGCACAAAAATAAATGACAGGATATGACTAACCAATTCCATCCAAGCTATATCTGAGTCATAATAATCATTTGAAAGGAAAGCATCAGCCTTGCTATGTAGCAGCCTCTTCAAACTACGCCAGGAGAGAATGAATTAACCCATATTTGTTAGTATTTAGTGTCAGAATACTGATAGGATATGCAACTTACACCCATTACATTGATTAGAATAATAAAAGATACAGAAAATATTCATAATGCTCTAGTTTATATTAATCACCGAGCATAAAGCAGAACAAGGACAGCTTAATGGGGCTGTCATAAAGCAGAACAATGACAGCTTTTAGTTTTATATTTTTCTCCCAATTTCCTCCTCTGAATCATGTTTTCTAACATTTAGCATAAAGCAGAACGATAACAGCTCAATAATGAGAATATGGAGGAAAACATTACCTTGGAGAGTTGGTAATGTCCCCAGCTTTATGCAATAAATCAGCAGCATTTGCAAGAAGAGACTGGTACTCTTCACAGTAAGGAATTATATATAGATCATGAGAACCTGCTTTGTTATCAGATTGATGAGAATCTAAAATAAATTCACTGTGCCTTTTAATAACACTGAAGAATCCTGTTGCCTCTTTCTGTTCATCCTTTTCTAGACTGTCCATCCATAATTCAAACTCCTGAAAGATAAAAGCGTCACCATTTTCAAATTTGGAAATGAATTCTTTTATCAGCATATACTTGGAGTAATAATACCATTTTGTCCATGTCTGGTGGATAGAAATTAGCACCAGCAGGTTTCAGCATGGGAAATGCTGCTTTATATTCCACACCCTTCCAATCTCTTACTATCCTAGTTGCATTACTGAACAACCTTACTGCTGAATCTGCAGTTGTCAAAAATGCCTCATCTTCATCAAGGCAAGACCTACCAACAATTAATAGAGATTATAATTATACAACATATCTGGACATAAAAGGGTCTTTTTACAATAATTAGATTCTTCCATTCTACTCTGAAAATTATATGAAACACAATTTGCAGTGTTCAAGGCAGATGAATGTTCATATATCTGTCAAGAACACATCGATCTGGCATTTGGTCCTAGCAATTTCAGGTCAAAACAGATCTTGGACCCTTGGATAAAGAAAACAAATTCTGCTGAGAAACTTAAACTAAAGGCAGCAAATGAGTCAAATAAGCCCAGGCAGGCATAAAAGAACACCGAAGTTTGTCTATCTGTCTGTTATATACACCATTCAGTTGGCAGATTACATTATCAAGAAAACACTTACCATGGGCTCTTGTTAATCTGATAATAGGACCATTTCAACTTATTTAACTCTGATGTATCAGCATGCTCCTTCAACCAATCTCTAAGAGCTGGATTACTGTACCATGACTGATAGGAGAATAAATATTAAACATTTAGCAATAAACACTATCATCTGAACAAATCCATCTTCCAGGTTCTACTCTAAGAATCACAGTTAAAAAAAATTATAATGCTTTTTGGCGCAAGAAATAAATTACCCATCTAATTTCATAACATGATTAACAAAACCTAGGTATCAAGCATGCTTCATGACACGTAATGACTTGCATATGAAAAATTATTTGCATGGACAAAAGGTTAAAAGTCAAAATTACCATTAATTTTATATATTTCATATGTATGAGAGTGCATGTTAAAGAAATAACATAAAATAAATAGAGAAAATATACAAGAACAAATGAGTACAAACACAGTTATAAATAACACAACCTGTAGATGAAAAATGTCATCCATAACAGCTGCAGCCTTGACAACCAAACCCAGAGCCTCTTTGTCCAAATCTGTAAGCCCAGACAGCTGCCAGAATGAAACATCGAACTTATTTATTGTTAACCGGGAACAACAACGTTTATAACAAACTCAACCAATAATGTTACTAATAATCCAAGGAATGATAAACTCCGCCAATAATGATATCATTACCTTCAACATTCATAGAAAAATGCTAGCAACACTCACTAAGACTCCCTCGACTAATGAATGGAATTTATACGAAATCACATTTTTGTTAGTCATACTTCTCACTGAATGAGTCTCACTCCTAATTTAGAAGTAAGACCCACCAACAAATTTAACTCGTGTTAGAAAAAGAGTATAACAGAGAGTGTTGCCAGAACTCCTTACACTCATAAATAACACCTTAATTAATTTATTTGCAATAAAATTTCATCCAAAACCTTCATTTTCTAATCACACTCGTGTATAGCACCAAAGAATTAATTGCTAGTATCATACATCTCCTAGCAATTACATGAAATGATAATATATTCCATTCTTCCCTTAGCCAATAAATCAATATTTGACAATTAATACTACATCCATTTCCTGCTAATACTTTGATATGGGAATTTCTGTGCACAGTGTGATGAAGAATTTCCCTTATCCTTCAAGATCAAGATCAAGATCAAGATCAAGATCAAGATCATGTTGCCAAGAAAAAACAGAATCCTTAAATTTATAGAATTTGTAACTAGCTCAAGAAAGATAGTCTAACTAGACCACGAGAAAAAAATAGAGAAACAACAGAATGGTGCAATTTCCAACAACAACAAAATTAAAATAATAGAACATAACCAAATACCAGACCGTTTTAATATATTGGCATTATAAGGACCTTTTTTCTCCAGCTTAATGAACTAGTTCCAGGTTCAATCATCATTTGACTAACGGTCAAATTTAGATGTTATTTTTGTGAGATCAAATGCAATGTTCATTTTTACATAATTGGATCCCATGCCAAAATATTAGAGATGTCAATATGGGCCTCAACCTGTGAGCCAACCCATCTCATCATGGGTTCAAGTCGGATTGAGTTGAAAAATGTTTAAAATTTTTAACAGTGGGTTAAATGGGTTTAAGCCGGGTTGGTGGTCGGTTGATCCATTTATCTCAATCTTTAATATTTTAATTTTTCCTATCCATTTAATATTCTAATTTTTCCTATCCATATGTTAGTATAAATCCATGAAGAAAAAAATATTTTAGTGAATCTCACCTAACCCACTTATATTAGTAAGTCAACCCATCTAACCTACCTATTCTAGTAATTTAAAAAGATAAAAAATAATTATAAAAAAACACATATTTAAGTGGGTCAACCCACCTGACCCACCAACTCGTAGTAGATCCAGTCAACTTGTAAAACTTTTGGTTCACCAAAAAATAAGTCGGGTTGAGCTGACTCATTTTTAACAAACCCGTGGTAAGCTAACCCATGGGAGTCAGGTTATCCCGCTTTGACACCCGTACAAAAAATCAGAATTGATGGATGAACACTAGCTAACACAACAACCATTGCAATACACCAAAATCCGGAAGTAAACACACGGACTTGAAAATATTACAGTTACACTTTTTTCATATTGATAAGCCCGTCATTTCGAACAAACCAGTTTAGTATTAGATATAAAGAGTGAGTTTGTTTGTGCTTATTATTTAAAATAAATTAAATAAACAGATTTCAGCGTTTTTTTATGTGTTTGTCTAATCTGCTTATTTTAAAAATAAGAATTTTTATGTTTACTCAAAAAAAAAAAAAAATCCTATTTGCTTCTTAAATCAGTGATTAATTTAAAATTTTCTTATTTCAAAGACACTTGCTAAGTTTAACCAAACTTGCCCAAAATAAGATCCATTTGCATTTAAACAGAAAAAATTAGAAATATAATACTTTAGCGGTATGGTTTCCAAATTGACAAAAGGGAGTGGGGGAGACAAACAGCAAAACAGCAGACAGATACAGGTCAATAATAAAATATAAGAACTAAAAACAAATAAAAATTAAAATTATAACCTCTGCACTAAGGGAAACAGGAGCATAACGACTTATTTGCTTCTGTAGAGTCAAACTGCGTGCTACAGTATTTTCCTTGTACCTTCAACAAATATGTAAATGTAAGGAATACCAAAATAAGTATATAATAATCAATGTCAGTTGTAAATATCACGTAGGTTTCTTTCATAGAAAACAATCAGAAAGTATAGGTAGAGTTAAGAATGTTGAGTTTTAAGACAACCATGTGATGGTATTTTAGGGAACCTGCAGTTAAAAGGTGTTAAATATAGGGAAAAACTGTATAGGGTTAATTTCCCTTATGTATTTATCACACATAGGGCAGTGTATTTATAATAAAGAAAGGTACTCCTCAAAAGAGTAACAGAATACAAATAGGGTAAATAAAAAGATATTATTTGATATTGTGATTAACAATATCTAACAATATCTCAACAATATCAAACAATATCAACTAATATCTAATCATATCTAACACTCCCCCTCAAGCTGGAGCATACAAATCGTATGTGCCTAGCTTGGTACAAAGATAATCCATCCTAGGTCCCCGTAAAGACTTAGTGAAAATATCTGCTAATTGATCACATGAGTTAACGAACTCAGTCTTGATGTCTCCAGACATAATCTTTTCTCGAATAAAATGGCAGTCAATCTCAATGTGTTTAGTCCTCTCATGAAAGACAGGATTAGAGCTTATATGGAGAGCAGCCTGATTGTCACACACTAGTGTCATTTGAGTGACATCTCCAAATTGTAGCTCTTTAAGCAATTGCTTGAGCCAAATAAGTTCACAGGTAGCTGAGGCCATAGCTCTATACTCTGCTTCTGCACTGGATCTTGCCACAACACTTTGTTTCTTACTTTTCCATGAGATCAAGTTACCACCAATGGAAACACAATACCCAGATGTAGATCTTCTATCAGAGGGAGATCCTGCCCAATCAGCATCCGAATAGCAGACAACTCTTGTATGATTATGGGAGTCATACACCAAACCTTTTCCAGGAGACTTTTTGATGTACTTCAATATACGGATGACTGCATTCTAATGATCTTGACAAGGAGAATTGAGGAATTGACTCACCACACTCGACCGCAAAGGAAATGTCGGGCAAGTAACTGTAAGATAATTTAATTTTCCAACTAATCTTCTATACTTGTTCGAGATCCGACATTGGCTCCCCCGATTTGGCAAGAGTTTGGTATTAGGATCCATGGGTGTGTCAACAGGCTTTGAATTCATCAACCCAGCTTCCTCCAAAATATCCAATGCATACTTTCTTTGAGATATAACAATGCCATCTGGTAGATTGTACTACCTCAATACCCAAGAAATATCCGAGTTTGCCAAGATCTTTGGTTTGAAAATGGTGGCAAAGGTGTTGTTTCATCTCGAGAGATGCCATGATGGTCACTACCTGTAAGAACAATGTCATCGACATACACTATCAAATAGATACATCCAACGATTCGAGTGACTGTAAAAGACCGAGTGGTCCGCCTCACTTCTAGTCATGCCAAATTGTTGAACAACGCCGCTAAATTTTCCAAACCAGGCCCTAGGAGACTCGTTTTAGGCCATATAAAGATTTGCGAAGACGACATACCAATCCAGAAGACTCCCCCGAGCAACAAATCCGGAGGTTGCTCCATATAAATCTCTTCTTGCAAATCGCCATTCAAGAAAGCATTTTTGACATCCGAGTTGATAAAGAGGCCATTGTTGAATAGCGACCATGGCAATGAATAAACAAACGGAAGCCATCTTTGCCACTCGGAGAGAAAGTATCACCATAATCCAACCCAAAAATTTGGGTATAGCCTTTGGCTACAAGGCGAGCTTTGAGGCGATCAATAGTACCATCAGGACCAACCTTGATAGCGAAGACCCACCCGCAACCAACAACAGATTTTCCAGATGGTAATGGGACAAGCGTCCAGGTTCCACTAGTCCGAAGAGCACCGAGTTCATCTAGCATGGCCCGACGCCAACCAGGGTGGGCTAAGGCTTCGAGACAGCATTTAGGAATAAACACAGAAGAAATAGACGAGAGACAGGTATAAAATGGTGAAGAAATTCGATGATAACTTAAAGCAAGTATAATGTGGAGAAGGATTACGAGTAGAACGCGTACCTTTACAAAGGGCAATAGGAAGGTCGGACTCGTGGACTGAACCTGAGGAGGCGAGTATTTGGCACTGGGAGTGAGTCATGTGACGTCCGTTGTGGGCGAGGTCTGCGACTATAAACCTGAAGGGGTGGTGGAGGAGGAGGGGCTAATGGTGGATGGTCCTCAATATAAGGATCAATGAGAACAGGAATGGGAACTGTAGCAGATGGAGACTCAGCAGGTAGGGAAGGGTCCTTAAAGTAAAAGGAAAACTCATTGAAGGTGACATCTGCAGACACAAAATAGCGATTAAGAGAAGGAGAAAAACACTTGTATCCTTTTTGGGATCGAGTAAATCCTAAGAAAACACATTTGTGTGATCGAGGAGATAACTTATCATGACCAGGATCAAAATTGTGGACAAAACAGGTAGACCCAAAAACCTTCAGAGGTAAAGGATGGAGAGTGTCATGAGGAAATAAAATAGAATGGGGAATTTTGTTATCTAAAACCGAAGAGGGCATACGATTAATAAGATAACAGGAAGTAAGAACAGCATCACCCCAAAAATGTTGAGGAACCTCACCATGAATTAAAAGAGTACGGGTTGTTTCAATAAGGTGTCTATTCTTGCGCTCGACCACCCCATTTTGTTGAGGGGTATAAGCACAGGAAGTTTGATGAAGAATGCCATGAGAAGCCATAAATTGTTTAAACGAGTTTGAAAGATATTCACGGCCATTATCACTTCGAAAAGTTTGAATAGAGACACCAAATTGATTTTTAATTTCATGATAAAAGTTTTGGAATATAGAAAACAACTCGGAACGATTTTTCATTAAAAATAACCAAGTACAACGAGAGAAATCATCAATAAAAGTAACAAAATATTGAAAACCTAAATTATACTTAACACGACCGGGTCCCCAAATGTCGAGTGAACTAAGGCAAAGGGGGATGAAGCACGCTGGGAAACACTACGAGAAAAGGAAGTACGACTATGTTTGCCTAACCGACAGGACTCACACACCAAATTGGACAACTGGGATAAGCTGGGAACAAGTTGCTGTAATTTGCGCAGACCGGGGTGACCAAGCCGAGCATGAAGGAGAGAAGGAGACTCCATAACCGTGCCAACATGTGGAGAAGGTTGAAGATAATAAAGTCCATGTGACTCACATCCGGTGCCAATCACTCTTTGCGAGCTCCGGTCCTGTAGGGAAACAGAAGTTTTGGTAAAAGAGATAACACAATCAAGAGATCGAGTTAGACGGCTAAT